TTTTTTTTTTTTTTGTTTTTTTTTTTTACATCGGGCCCTTGATTTTACGTTATTACATCATGTTCTACCCACCCAGATTTGTTTTGTGTAAATTGGAGCCGTTCTGAAGATATTCAGTTAGGTTATATCCAAGTAACGAGTTGAAGGAACAAACTAAACTGTTCATAATTTATCATTTATGCTACGCCAGCATTCATAACATGTAGGTGAATCACTGTCCCCCAGACATCCGCAGTTATATTTTTTATATTTCTATTTTTTTAAAACAAAGCAGAGTGTGTATGACGTCATCCGCGCACGCCGGCTACCGTTCATTCTTCCTGTCCGCTGAACTGCCGCTAGTTTTCCTCACATGCCTGGAAGATGTTTAGTGCTGCTACCACAGATGATCTCGCTCTCCAAATGGAATTGAACGATTCAGATTAGCTCGCCGAATGAATAGAAGGGGTAGAGCGTAGCCGCCTGGTGTAATGTCCATTGGTTAAATAAAAAAAAATAAATAAATAAAAAAACAACTCCAGTTCGGTGCGCAGATGACGTCATACACACGCCGCTTTGTTTTAAAAAAATAGAAATATAAAAAATATAACCGCGTCTGGACAGTGATTCGCCTACAGGTTATGAATGCTGGCGTACCATAAAGAATAAATTATGAACAGTCTAGTTTTTACCTTCAAGTCGTTGCCCATCGGAAGACGTTACGGAATATCTTCAGAACGGCTCCAAATGACACAAAACTCATATGGGTGACTAGAACATGATGTAATAACGTAAAATCAAGGGCCCAATGTAAAAAAAAAAATGAAATTCCCCTTTAACACGGCTGCGGTGGGACCAGGAGAGAACCAGGAGCGCCGTATGGATAATGGATGTGGTAGTGACAGGCCGTCTGAGATGAAGCCATTAATCCAGGAAACTGGAAAAAAAAATCCTTCTATTCTAATTTTTTAATCGGATAAGAATATTGGCCAGTGAACTTATTGACTGATTACGGGCTCATTGTTTCTGTTCGCTAGTTTCCAGTAAATATCTTGGGTTTTCAGCCCCCTCGGTGAGGCGGAGATCCATCGAAATATTCCTTTTTCAAAGTCTGATCAGAGCGTCACAGTGAGGGGCCCCTACCTTCTGCTAGAGACGGGGGCTCTGTGGGGCCGGATGTGGGGGCCTGGGCCGGTGGGTTACTCTCTTGAACCGGGCTGCTGGGGATTCCCTGCAAACAAAAACAGATTCCTCAAATATGAACAGCTTCTTTTTACCACATTAAGACAGAAATGTCACGTTTTAAAAGGTCAACTCTAACAGAAACTAATGAAGCGAGTCTGACTCCTGGCGACGCCATGAAGTTTTGTTTCTTCATAATTATCTGACTTCTAACAAGGTGAGAAAAAAGTTTGACTTTCCAGCTGTTCCTTAAAAGCTAACAGAGATGGACGTACAGTGAGGAGGTACTCCACGGCTCTGTGAGGGTTGTTAAAACTGGCCCGTAGTGCAGCTACCACTCGCTCCCTTTCGTAGCCCATAGACATGATCTCTGTCAGCATGGCCTCGTACTCGGCTCCGGTCACTGTAAACAAGAAAACACGTCAGACACGACTGCAGAAACAGAACAATAAACGGCTGACTGACAGTAACACAAAATACTAATTCCTCTAAACCACTAAATACTAAGTATTCATCATGAAGCAGCTGCTTGTTTGTATTCATCTATGAATCTGATGCGTTTGTTTTATAAAAGGCTTCTGGATAATATTAGCTGTAAAAGGTGAGAGAAGAAAAATATAAAGATCAACACGTTCTTCGCAACTGTGGAACACGGCAGTGGCTGCATGATGCTGGGAAGATGGAGGAAAATACACTCAGATAGTTCATGCAAGAAAACAAAAGATATGAAATTTATTGCCTAGTCAAAGTCCAGACCTAAATCCATCTGAGCATCTGTATGGAGTGTATTTTGTTTCATTGTTGCAAAGAACGCACTTTGTAAATGGAAACTTTACCATTTTTGTAAATTGAAATAACAAAACAAAAAAAAGGTAGAGAGCAGCTTTTTTGTTTTCTAAGTTTTTTTTTCTCAAAATGTATAATTATTATTCTGTTTTTTTTTTTACAAATGCATTTCTCTATTTTTTTAACCAATTTTTTAAGAGATTTAATTTTTTGAAGAATTTTCTTCAAAATTCTGTTGTTCAGAGTGAGATTTATTGACTTTATTCTTTTAAATTGTATTTTTCAGACCCTCACTTCTTGTGGCTGTTCTCTGTAGCAGGGAGCAAAGATGCTTTTTAATTGGCCTGCTGGACGATTGAAATCAGATCCAGAAGTGAAAAGAATTAGATCTGTGAAACTTTATTTGTAAAAATCTGAAAAACTGAAATTTGAAAAAGAAAATTGCATCTAAAAGAGATTAAAAAATATTAAATTATATGTGTAAAAAAAAGTTACATTTAAATGTGATAAAAATGTAACAAATTCAGAGAAACGGAGTGAAGATACTCTAAAAACCTTTTAATAATAGATTTCAACTACTTTCTATGATGGAGTATTAGGGCCAGGCAAGAGATTTATTTGTTTTTTTATTTTGAGAATAAATTCATAAAATTACAAGAATAAAGTCAGACGAGAATAGGGATAAAATTATGAGAATAAAGTCCTAAAAGT